AAGCTGCACAGCGACCAGACCAGATAATCCTTTGTGGGCTCAATGGGGACGTTCACTACGGTGTGCTGAACTCCTCCAGGACCCCCAGGCTGTCCAGGGTACGCCTCGTTGGCGTAAACAGGATGCATGGCTCTCAGCTCTGTTGCAGATGGTAGGTGGATCTGAAGAGTTTCTTGAAGTACTGTCACATTACTTGGAGTAGACGTACTTTTTATGGAGGTTGTGGTTTTCACTGTGGAAATTGTAACCACTGAACAAAAGAGGAAGTGCAAAACACAGTGAGTATGATTGCCAAAACGCTTTGTGAAAGCACTATTATGATCCTTTATTCAACTCAAACAAGGTTTCGCAAATCACAAGGCAGGCTTTACAATTTTAAAATATTCTGCTTTTAATGTGAAATAATCTAGTCCATGTTTGAGGAGGTTAATTATTGATGTCCTTAAATGTGAGCAAATTAAACATGCTGGAAAATGAGGCAGAGTCGTCCTTTATCCACATCTGAAATTCGGATCTGCAATCTCAAACCAACTTCAGCTCTGTACTATACTACATGTTTATGTTTGGCATCATGTTAGCTCAATCAGATCAATCAATCAAATTTTATTTGTATATTACATTTCAGCAACAAGTTCTTTACGTCATAAAAACACAAAGAATCAACAATCGAAACCTTACATTTAGTCAAGTGCCATTATTAATTTCTTAGTCAATTATGCTTCAAAGGAAACTCCAAACAGGTGTGTTTTTAGTCTAGATTTAAAGGTACTCAGTGTTTCAGCAGTTTTGTAGTTTTCTGGAAGTTTGTTCCAGATTTGTGGAGCGTAGAAGATTACAGAAAACTCTGTCAAAAGAGCAAGTTATTGCATGTAACGTGAAACAAATTTTGTGAAACAAAGGAACCACCCGGTGATCTAAAGTTACTTATGAGTCACTTACAGACAGGGATCCATCTAGTGGATGCATAACATAACTCCAGCCCCTACTATAGCGTCTGTTCTATGTGCCTTATAATGCGGTGCGCCTTATATATGAAAAAAGTTTTAAAATAGGCCATTCATTGAAGGTGCGCCTTATAATCCGGTGCGCCTTATAGTGCAGAAAATACGGTACAAAAGAAAATAGTAACGTACAGTGATATGTAACTTTAATCTGATTACTGGATTTGAAATAGCTACGCGTTAGATTACTTGTTACTGAAAAAGTGGTCTGACGCGTTACTGACATCACTGGTCAGGACTATAACTTGACATCGAGTCAAATCATGTTTTTGGCCAATTTTGAGAATATTTGCAGTAAAATCAGAAAGCATGTGGGGATCTGATGATTTTATGGATCTGTGACAAACAGGAGGAACTTACTGATGTAATTTGGAGACTAGAGGGCCACATGAAAAGCTGCGGCAGGCCAGATTTGGTCCCCGGGCATCGAGTTTGACACATGTGCTCTAAAGCAATAGTGTCCAGACTTTTTGTCATGGTCGCCAAAAATGTTGAAAGTAATCAGCTTGTTACAGAATTTAAATGTTTTCTATTATTAGTTTTACTCAACTTGCAATGCCACCCTCATTATTTTCACTTTACCTGCTGAACAATAATCAAGGGGAAAAAAAGAAAACAACCCACATACAATCTTCTTAGTTTTTCTGCTTTATCTCTGTCAGGGTTTTTTTGTGTGTTTTTTTTTTTTTGTTTGTTTGTTTATTTTTTAGTTCTGTGTAGTGTCGGTGACACAAACAGGATGTGACTCATGCTTCCTTTGTTTTCCAAGTTAGAGATTTGGCTAATGAAGTTGCAGTTGCAAAGGTTGCGGTAAATAAAACATGTAGTAAACAGGACATGACACTCTGATGTAATTCAGTTATTCCACATTACAGAGAAATTACCGCAACAGTGACGCAAAACACTTAAAGAGAAGAATAGAAATAAATGATGCAGTATGTATATCTGTTTCCCGTCATTTGCAATTTATTCATTTGTGACCACAAGGTCTTTGCAGAAGATGTGATGTTTTACCCCTATTGTCAATTGCAGCTTTGTTTTCAAAAAGTTTGCGTTTTAAGCTTCAACTTTATATTATTTAAAATCCATTTCCTTTCAGTTTCACAGTAGTTGCTGGCAGCCGGTTTAGATCATACCTCAACAGTTTGATTATTCCTTTTCTATATTTATTTAAGGCACGAAGGATGACATTTAATAGTACTTACCATATTTTCTTGCCATTTGTTTTTCAACTGAATAAAAACAGGAAACAAATGGAAACCGGTACTGCTGGCATTAAGAAATAGATTTAGAAATATCCTCCTAGAGTTTCACAGTGGGAAAATTCCAGTGTGCAGCCAACAAATTAGAGGTAAGCAGACACAGACATATTTAAACTAATGTAGAATATTAGTTAAAAAATATTAATTAAAAAATAGCACACTGTGTTTAAAAGAAATGTACAACTACGAATGGTCATTTAACAAAAACAAAATACACGTCCTTGTGTATTTGTGCATGAAAAACAACAAACTACTTCATTACAAAAAATATAAACAACTGCAAATGACAGCAGGGATTTAAAAACTCATTGAGTTTGTTGGGAACAGAGATGGTTATAACGTCTTGCAGCAGCCAGGAGGAAGGATCTACAGTGATGCTCTTTTGTGCGCCTAAGATGGAGCAGTCTGTCACTGAAGACACTCCCATTATCATTAAACAACAAGATAATTTTAAACTACTTCACCTGGTTTATGTGATCTTCTGAAACATCAGCGGCTCAAAAAATATAGAAATATCACCTAAAATGTATCATTTCACATTCTTAGGTTTCAAAATGAAAATGTTTATCTTACACATAGTTGAATGCTATCAGGAGAAGCAGATTCAGTGTAGTCATGTTCTAAAAAAAATGTTGCCCTTTTAATAATTACTGCCTTTGTTCCATTTTAGCACAAAAATGTATCTTAGATATATTTTAAGTTGTGCTTTTGTTTTGTTTTTTTGGCAATTTCAAATTTACTAAACTCCACTAAGTACAAACTTGAAAAAAATGTTGTATGTTAAAAATAGTTCACATATTGATTAGTCTGACTCCATTGACACTGAAGTCAACATTTACACTCTCAGTGTCCATTAATTTCACCATGGGATTAACTGACCTTTCTACTTGTCTGACCTTGCCTGATTGGTGCGGCTGGTTTTCTCATGACTGTTTGTTCAATTCTGCATCACATATCATAAATGTAATGATTCCTTTGTCATAACAATCCCAGGTTTCACTTTTGGTCACAAAGATTTCTGTCTTTATTACCCCCACTGTGTCAGTTTGTCACCAAATATACATATTTGTTTAAAAAATTACACAGGAAACTCTCCACACAGAAAAAAGGACGTTTCTGTTGTTTTCTTTTTTATTATCATCACGGTGCCAGCTTTTCATTCATCTGAGCTAAAACACACACTGCGGATTTTAAGGAAGCGAACTTTATGCAAGTGGACTTCCTTGTTGCCTCAGATCTTACTACTAGTACTACTGTTGCAGTTTTATTTTGGCACCAGAGTGCAAACAGAAAAGCAAGGGAGTCACGATGTTTGAAAAGCCCTCATAGCTTACACAAGTTTAGTGTCATCTATGATTTTTTAAAGAGATTGCAATCACAATAATGGGCACAACAATGGAGATAACAATGATGACTACTGATGCCAGGACGGTCGCCACGATGTTAAGAGTCCGAGCGGTGGAGGCGTGACGTCTGGCTCCGTCCTGATCTCCCAACATCTTCTGGTCTCTGGCCTGAAAGCAGAAAACATATATACTGTATTAATAACTGGTTCATACTGAGAACATCAGGTTCTCCCTTATTGCCTGCTGCATCTTTGGGACTTTTATCTCTGATTTACCAAATCACACATTGATTTATTTATTGATTTATTTATTTTTAGAAAAACACACACTCTTTCAAAGTAAAAAATGGAAAGTTAAAATACATTTTTAGTCAATTTAGCCTTTTGATTCACCCAGTTTTGAGGTCTTAATCTGGTTTTTTTAACCTGGTTCAGTAGAAAGGCCATCCATACCATTGAACTACCTTGATGTTTGAGTTTTGTGAAATTAACCTATCAAACTGTGATTTAAAGTTATATGTCCCTAATCCTGAATTATCCAGATTATTCAAATTAGTCTCTAGATTTTAACAAATTTGTCCAAACTGCATAAAATTCATTTACCAAAAGGAGAATCAGAAGCCAATTTGAACACTCTTCATGATTTCTGTCCTTTTCAAAGACGCTTAATTTAAGACAAATTAAAGAGAAACTATTAGCATAAACTCACCTTGACAGAATAAATGAGAGCCGCCAATCCAAGACAGAAAATATTTCCATAGACGAAGCTGCACAGCGACCAGACCAGATAATCTCTTGTGGGCTCAGTGGGGACGTTCACTACAGTGTGCTGAACTCCTGTGGGACCCCCAGACTGTCCAGAGGGCACTTCATATACATGATCCATGCCTCTCAGCTCAGCTCCAGGAGGTATGGGGATCTGAATAATCTGTTAAAGAACGGCCTCACTACCTGGAGTGGGTTTTGTTTTTTTAAGTTGTCCTTGCTTAACAGGGGAAATTTCACCAATCAACAGCAGTTGGTATGCAATCCTGTCATTTCCAGTTGCTTTGTATGACGTAGAGTTTTTCCTCTCTTTCTTCTTAATAATTTGTTTGTTTTTGGATATGAGGAAATATCTTTGAATCTTTATAAGCCTGACTTTGCATAATAATATAAGAAGTTATTTTCAAAGGTTATTGATTTGGGGTGCTGTGGTGGCTCGGGGGTTAAGCACAACCCAAATAATGAGGCCTCAGTCTTCAATGCAGCTGTTGCAGGTTCGATTCCTGGCCTGGTGACCTTTGCTGGATGTCTTCTCTCTCTTTAACTATTTTCTTGTCTTAACGCATGTCAAATACTAGAACTAGAACAAAAAACAATTAATAATAATTGACTAGGGGCGTGGTGGTACAGCAGCAGCACTTGATGTCAGAGGCCTCTCATAACCCACTTTCCCATCTATCTACTGTGGAATAAAGACCACCGGAGCCAAAAAAATCCTTAAAAAAAGTAATTGATTAAACATGGGAGTGAAGATGGACTCATGAAAACAAAAATCAGAAGGCAAAGTTAGTTTCAGTCGGAAATATTCCAGAAAGACCAACAAAATGCAAGAAAGTAGCAAAACTTCACAACCTTCTAAACTAAAAGGTCGGTGAAGGAGGACGTTGATCAGAGTAGCTGTCAAGAGGTCAATCGAAACTTTAGAGGAGCTGCAGAGATTCACGGGTCAGGTGAGAGAATCTGTTGCCATGACAACTATGAGTTCAGCCCTCCACAAACCAATCTGGCCTCTCTGGTAGAGTGTGCAGGAAGAAGTCTGTGTTTGAAAGAAACCATGTAAAGTCCAGTTTGAAGGCCTTACTTGCCTCTGGGAAACCCTTTGAATATTTCATGTTTTTTAAGCAAAGAATAACTTTTTTAATGTGGTTTAAAAGCTAGACTTGGAAGAAGATTGAAGAAATTTGTGACCGAGAAACAGGAAGTGCTGAAAACCTAAAGCCAAAAGTCGCCCCCAGGGGGAACCTGGAAATTATGAGCAATGAGACGAGTACAAGCCAGTGTAATTAATATGATATAAATGTTATGATTCACTTGTCATAATTTTATTTTTTACATTTAGATTTTTGTTTTTATTGTCCTCACTTTGTCAATTCGTGACCAAATATGTTTTTGGTTTAAAATGACACAAGAGGCTACACACAAAATAAATTACACTGCTGTGTCTTATAGAGTACAGGATTGTTTTTATAATCATCATGATGCAAGCTTTTCATTCTGAGCTGAAACACACTTTGCAGATTTTAAGCAAGTGAACTTTATTCAAATGACGTTTTTCCCTATTGCTTCAGATCTTACTACTTGTACGACTGTTACAATTTTATTTGAGGCACCAAAATATAAACAGAAAAGCAGACGAGTCGTGGTCTTTGAAAAGCCCTCATACCACGGAACAATTACTTGTTATATCTGGGATATTTTTCCCCCCTGTGCAGTCACAACAATGGGCACAACAATGCAGAGAATGAAGGTTAAAGATGTCAGTACAGTCGCCGCGATGTTGAGAACCCGAGCAGTGGAGGCGTGACCTCTGGCTCCGAGTTGATCTCCAACCATCTTCCTGTCTCTGGCCTGAAAGCAGAAAAATGAAATTTATTTATTAATTGTTTCATGTGGTGAACAAAGAGTTCTCAGTTGTTATTTACTAAGACATTGGGACTTTTACCTTTGATTTACCAAAATGCACATTGAGTTATTGTCTTCAAAGTAAAAAATAGAAAAAAGTTTAAACGCTAGTTTAGCTACAACTTGTGTCTAACTTGTCGCGTCAAGTTAGACTCAAATCTAAAACTTTGATTCTAGATTAAGACCTAGTTTTGGGATCTTAATCTGGACTCAAAGTTTGAGTGGAAAGGCCATCCACATCATTGAAATAGTTTCATATGTGAGTTCTGTGAAACTAATCTTTTTGCGTTAAACCTTAATTATCCAGATTATGTTTCCAGATTTGTCCAAACTGCATAAAACACATTTACCAAAAGAGGAATCAGAAACCAGATTCAAGCCTCTTCATGATTTCTGTCCTTTTTCAAACAAACAGAAAATGTTTACATTTAAGACAAATGACTGAGAAACTATTACCATAAACTCACTTTAACAGAACAGATGAGAGCCGCCAATCCAAGACAGCAAAAGTTTCCATAGACGAAGTTCCAGAGCGACCAGACCAGATAATCTCTTGTGGGCTCAGTGGGGACGTTCACTATGGTGTGCTGAACTCCTGTGAGACCTCCAGACTGTCCAGGGGACACTTCATGTCTCCTGCCCTGCAGTGCGACGGTCTCAGCAGAGTAAGGTGCAGAGGAGTACCCAGGATTCATTGCTCTCAGCTCGGCTGCAGGTGCAGGACGATCTGAACGATCTGCTCCAGAACTGGCAGGCTGTCCGGAGTGGGGTTTGTTTTTTATGATGTTCGTGTCTTAACTGGAAAATTAACCACTGAAAAATGGTCAATGTGCAAAAACCACAATACTTTCATCTCTGGTTGCTTTGAAGCACAAACATTTGACATGAATGTTGTTAGATTTGGGGGTGAGGAAGTACTACATTGGTACACAACCTTCCATGTTCTAAATTGTATTTCTGTATAACTGCAGCTGTTACTGCTTTACTTTTGGAAAATAATTAGTCTCTCTGCACATAATGAAATTGAGGATGTGGATTTTTGTGTGTTTTTTCTGTTAATCTAGTTCCTGTTTCGTCTCGTCTCCCCCTGATCGTCTCCAGCTGATTATCCCCGTGTGTGTGTTTAGCCTCACCTGTGTTACCTGCTCCCCGTCAGGTCCTTCTCTTTCCTGTCAGTCTTTGTTAGTCCTGTGTCGTCCCAGTGCTACCATAGTGTCTGAGGTTTTAGCCTCACTGTTCACCTGTGCTGCCTGGATTTCTGTTCTCTTCATGTTTGTCATTAAAACCATCATTATAGAACATCAACCTGGTCTACCGCGTCCATCCTCACCTCCTCAATCAACCCAATTCATGACAGAAAGGACATTTATACGTTTTAAAGAGGATAATGTCAATTATTATTATTATTATTATGAAACAAACTATTAATTCATCTGAGCTAAAACACACTTCACAGGTTTCATAAAAGCAAACTTTACACAAATTAAGTTCTTAGACTTTTCTACTAGCGTTACTGTCACAACTTCATTTTGGCACCAGAGCAAAAACAGAACAACTGCGTTATAGCGTTGGACAATCTCTCATACACTCTGAAAGTTGGTTATTGCCAATAATTGTAATTGTAATAGGATCTGTAGCTTGAACAATGCTTCGCTTGTACAATCGCAGTAAAGATTACAACAACGACTACCAAACACGCCAGGATGTTCGCCAGGATGCTGAGAACCCGAGCGGTGGAGTCGTGACGTCTGGCTCCGTCCAGATCTCCAACCAGCTTCCGGTCTCTAAAATATTCATTTTAAAACTGGACTCAAACTAGAAACAATGGTACTTCCCTTCTTGTCTGAAACCTTTTGCCTTTTGTAAGTGTCATGACTGATTTCTCTCTGACTGAAAGCACAACTCGCCATCATGGAAAGTAGAAGCCACTTTTGGAAAGGATATTTTTTCTGTTAGACATGAGCTGCCAGGCAGTCAGGGAGTCTAGAAAGTGATGTCTAACAAAATATGCTTACATTTTACAGTCAGTGTGATGTTTTTCTTTTCATCTGTCAAACCTGAACACACACTCTTCCAAAGTAGAAAATAGTTATTTTAAATCTTTTTGGTCGACTGGGGTATCAATCTGAACTTTGTGAACTGGGTTCAGTAGAATCCAGTCCAGATTTTTATTGACCAAAGTTTGTCAAAGTGTAGAAAAATGCTCATGCACGTTCAGTTGTTCAGGTTCCATTTAGTTTCATAGTTTTGTGATTATTGAGTTTTCCTTCCTTCTCTTTCCTTCTCGTTTTATCTCATGCCAGATTTTTTATTGCGTTGGTCGTGTCCTTCTCATGCTGAGCTGAGCTCCACCTGTTTACTCTTCTTTAGTTTCTGTTCTCTGTGGGTTTGTGATTCTAACATTCATTCTATTTTCTTCCTACGCAGTTGCTCTCACTCTGGTTTTTCCCACCACTCTCTGGCTCATGCTGACTCTCCTAATTCTTTCCATTGTCTGTTCACACCTCACAAGTCCTCTGGAGTTTGGATTTGAGTCGAGTTCCTGCAGAAAAAGGTGGTTCAACAAAGTAATAAAAAAGGCCCCCAGCTATGGGTGTAGAAGAAGATTTCGTGCAAAGCCAAACTACGCAGTCCCACCGCAGGTCCTAATCAGAAGGTTTCGTTATGAGAAACATCTTCACACACAGGAAAACCAGGTGGTTTATGTGGTTGTTATGTGGAGGTGCACAGAGCAGGCGGATGACTCGAAGCTGGGAAGTCAAACTAACGTCTTCACTCAGACACAAACCAGGATGAAATAAAAAAGATAAAACTCTGAACATCGCAGGTCTCAGACGTGAATGGAGGAAGAGAGTGTTGTTGTTGTTAGCCCAGCTTCAAAGACGATGGGAACTACTTTTTTAGTTGTCATTTGGCTATTTCTCTCTCTCTCTCTCTCTCTCTCTCTCTCTATATATATATATATATATATATATATATATATATATATATATATATTCTGTCTTATCTATGTACAAAAAAATTAAGGCAACCTTTTCTTTGTTTAAAGTACTTGCTCATTTTGCTACATGAAACAGAAAATCCAAGTAAATTAACATTAACTTAACCCTTGTGTTTACAAATGGGGTCCAACTGACCCCATACCTGTATCACTTGTATCATTTGCCTCAGGCCCTCGTACGCACAAGGGTTAATTTTGTCAAGTAGATTAAGCAAAACTGAACTTTGTACAAATTATGCAACTTTTTAAATGTAGTAAATGAAATTTGCAAGTACATTGTAAAATCTTAAGTTAACTTAATAAAACTGAAGATGCTGTCATTTAATCAACAACCGAAGCTTAGTTTTTTGTTTTTTTTAAACTAGAAACTCCTCAAAAAGTAAATACTTGATTGAAGCATCTCATGGCTCCTACTTTTTAATTGCTTCTCAAACTTTGACAGAAATTCTTCTTGATAAGGCAAAAAAATAAATAAAAAATCTCTATAAAGTATTTGTTTAAAGGAAGAGCCACCTGCTTCCTCTCAGTTAGAGAACATTTCCTGTCACCGTTTCCAGCCTGCTCTGTTGACTACAGTGAACATGGCTAAAAGTCAGGTGCGATTTCAACTGAAAGGTTTGTGGTCTGAATCAGGGTAAAACTGAACACACCGCTTTACTTTAGTTCTTTTTTTAACAGCAGCTGCAAACACATGAATGATGTTAACTCATCACACACAGGAATGAAAGAAGAGCAACAGAAAAACACTGCAAATGCTGCAACCACAAGAAATAAAAGGAAAACTTGTGTAAACTCAGGAGTCCGGAAGTCTGTAGTGTTGCCTGAATGTAAACATGTTTCTGTTCTGCAGTATTTGCATGTGGGGTGATTTGTGGTTGTGGAGGTTGTATTTGCCTCGTTCACTTGTTTGCGGAGCATTTTGCCATTTGCTGCATGTTCACAGCTGCATTGTTACCATCCTCTATGGCTAACTGAAGAGGCACAGAAAACGAATTTCAAGCTTCAGAGAAAAAGAGCAACCATTGTTAAAGAAAATTCTAAAATAGTTAACTTTGGCTCTCTCTTCCTCTGGATCCCAGGTCCTCTCGGCGAGCCACATGTAGCCACAAGGAAAACAACAATGCGTGTTGACGTCACAGAATTAGAGTTTAATCCAATATAAGACAATGCATAAACTTACACCAGAAACTGCATAACAGAGACATACATTCATTTACCTGACATAAATGGAAAGAAGAAGAAAAGCAAAGACATCTTTGGAGAGTTGCAAGAGCAAAT